GTAATAGAGAGAAGTACAATTTCAGAGTGCAGGCAATCTCTGCAAGACTTGGTGATGAGCCTGTTCAGGGAGTGAGGCAGCCAGAAAGGAGATAACTCCAGAGTTGATTGCACAGATAATCATACAGCTGATAATGCTATTATATAAGCCAAGAAAAAGCAAGAGAAACTATAAGGAGAAAAAGGGGGGAGAGGGGGAGATCTGTTTTAGACTTGCTGGGGTGGCTGTAACTAAGTAGAGGGCTAGAGTAGGAAGGGAGACTCTGGGAAGTGGTAGAATCTACCACTTCTGGAAGGTTTCAGGAATGGGAGAGGTGTGTCCAGACAATGTCTCAGTAAGACCCCAATGGCCTCCAGTGTGGAAGTGTACCTGTGGCTACCCTCAAGGAGTGTGACACTAGCCAAACCACTTCCCTCTCTGATTTTAGAATCTGGAAACACAGAGAGATGGACCAGTTCTCTAACATTCAGTCACCCATGGCTGATGGGTTATCGGCTCTGGATAACCAGGAAGAATGCTTGTGGCTGAGCAGTATGCAACATGACAAGCCAGTCCCTGACTTTCCAATAGGAAAGACAGACCCATAAATAAGCATTCCCCGTGTGGAGTGATTAACTGCTACCATAAAAGCAAAGAGTACAAGGCAGCAGGAGGGAGTTCTGAGAGGAAGTGGTGGGCTGGGGGAATTCCAGCAAGCCCCTCAGAGATGAAATCTTATCTTGGTCTTGAAGAAGAGAAACTTTCCAAGCAAAGGCAAGGCCAAGCACAAAGGTCTGAGAAAGTGATTTCACTTAGAATACCTGGGAAATGGTATTGACCCCAGAGCTCCAGGAAAGCTTAAAAGAAGGCCAGAAGAATGAAGCTAGCCAAGCCTTTCTCAGCCTGCTAAGGAGTGGCCTAGGCTAAAGCTGATAAACAGGATGTTAGTATGGTTCTTGAACATAGAACAAACACATTTAGAAAGCCGTTTCAAAAGCTAGGTGAGAAGGGAAGGCCTTTCACATGTCCATCGGGTGTTTTGTCCTACTTTTTCTTTCTGATTTTGAGGACCTCATTTTTTTGTTTTGTTTTTAAATAGTGCCATAAAAATGCTAAGCATGGCTGATGATGCACAGCCTTATTCAGACACAAGGGAGTTTCGGTACATCTTATTCTCAGAGTAAATCACTTCCAATCACATCAATTTCAAGATCCTACAGCTCTGGAGACAGGAGTCAGTCTCAGTCCTTGCTAGGACTTGGTAGAGGTATGATGATATATTCAAAAAGGTGAGAGGTTGCCTTTCACCAAATCACACTGAAGATATTTCAATTCCTTCTTTTGGGTAAGGGAACTGGAGACTTGTGTACTTATTAGGCAAGTGCTTGCCACTTAAGTCTCAACCACTAGTGCTTTTGCTTCATGAGTTTGTTTTTTAGGAAAGACCTCACACTTCTGCCTAAGCAGCCACGACATCTGTCCTTCCCATCCAGCCCAGGCTATTCCAATCCTAAGGTTCTTTCCCTCCTTTCTCTATACTTGACTCCTGTATGTGATACAATTATCTTTGAGTCTCAGGGCAGAAACCCTGGCATCCCTTGACTCTTTATAAAATCCAATATCCCAGTCAATGTTTTGAAACCTTGGAGGTTCTTTTTCTCTTGCTGCTCAAGAAGAGCTTATCTCCTCCCTCAGATCCTCCACCCTCGGATTTTTCTTGGTGTCCATTGGACTTTCAAACTTTCTTGCTGCTTTGTTCTTTCCCCCTTCTGGAGAATCAAAACAAAATTGCCCACAGGCTCATCACCCTTTCAAATCACTATTTACTTCCTGCTGTTGTTTGAACTTTTGTGAAGAAGAAAAAGGGAGGCAAGGCAGAGGTTAAAGGGCAGAGGGTTGTGGCCAGGATAGAGGCAGATGTTAAACTGAACATCGCAACTTCAGTTTCTGAGCCTCCAGCACCCACACAAGTTCTGCCCTGTTGGCTCCCAAGGGATTTTGAAGCATTTCTCCTTCCACCCCAACATCCTCTCCTCCTGGCTCTCCTTTTCCTTTGTGAATTTCATGTTCCAGAGCCCAGATAACCAAACTGGCAACCACTTGCAGTAAACATACAAGTCCTTTAGCATGCCTTTAGTGGTGAAGGATTTGCTTACTAAATTTCCACCAGAAATAGGCCCCAACAACCATCTAAAAGTCTTACCTGACAAGTCTGCAGGAGTTTTGTTCTCTTGCTTCAGAGGAGTTTTTAGATTCTACATTACTTTTTGCTATTTTTATTCCTTTCTTTGTTTCCACCAGGTCACTGATAATACTTCACATGGCTTTAATCAGGTTAGCAAGTAAATAATGTCTAACATGACTGTGGGTTTGATGAATACAAAGAAAGAGGAAATACAAGAAAGTCAAACATGTCTCCTTCAGTGGGGTGATTCCGCTCATACTATAATGCATATGTATAAACACACTCTTCACATTAGGCAGAGACATCCTAATATGGAAACTCTGAGAACTACCACATCTGTAAAAGGCAAAGTCCCTGTTGTCCTGGTTTCCTCAGATTTCCAAGACAGAAGAGATGTTCTAGAAAAACATTTATCATCCAGTTTCTCAATTCTACAAAGACCAAACTGAGTAATATACATTATTCAATGACTTAAAAATCTCTCAAGACTCCATTTGGCTTTCCTATACCCACTTAAGGAACAGTCACTGTCAGAGGTCAAAGCTTATTAGTGCTGAAACCTAAAGTCAATACCCTTGAGATATAAAATAAAGCTCCAGACAAAGCCTTCCTGGCTCTGCTTAATTCATGATGAATTTTCGGGTTCTCAATAAGACAGATCTTACAAACTCAGGCTCACATTTGCTGTAAAAAGATACCTGGCTAAAAGAGAGATCCAATAAGTGAATGAGTGAAACTTGGCTACAACAGAAAAATTTTTCCAACACTTATAAAAATATTCAGGTAAGCAAATGATACCCACTGACCCTGCCACTTCAAGTGTAGAAATGAATGCAAGGATTGGAAAAGTGACTCAAGAGCAAAAAGAGAGAGTCTAGAGGTGACCTCAATCCTTCCATCAGAATCATGGTCTGTTAGGACTGGTGAATATTTACTCCAATTGCCTCATTATACCAAGGAGAAATGAGAGATTCACAGAGGGAAAAAAATGAGTCTGTAAAAGGCCCCAGATCTGAAATTAAAACCCAAATGACCTTCTTTCTTTTCTGGACAGGTTCCTACCTGTCCAGTCATCAATACTGGCTAGAAGCAGCATTCCTAGGAGGGGCATTAGGCAAGAGGCTCTGTCTCTCAAAAGCACAGGACAGCCAGGTTCATTCTGGTGCTACACTGTCCACACACCACCCTACTTCTACCATATCTATTCATACAAGAGCTCAGATGGTACATACACTTGTCTGTGCATCATTTCCACTGCTTGAGCCACTGTCCTAGCTGAACCATCAAGACAAGACAGGAAGTATCAGTAGGGCAATGAAGTAGAACTTATTCAGTATAAAATAACACTAAACATGTAGCCTTATGTCTTATCCCCAACACACACACACACACACACACACACACACACACACACACACACACATTTTCCTCTAAACCAAAGATCAAAATCATGTAGAACAGAGGGTCTCAAGTGGTCTGCACTGTTGGTGCTGTCAGTTTGAGGAATATATTCTTTCAGGTAGCGAGGGGTAGATGTTAGAAAGAAAATCTTGGAATCTAACGAATCTTGGATTCAAGACTGGTTGTACTACTTAGGAGCTTTTGGCTAGTTTCCCATCTTCACTATGCCTCAGTCTCCTCATCTTTAAAATGGAAATGATAACACCTAAGAAGTACTTGATGATGAATTACACAAGTTAATAATGTGAAGCTCTTAGTACAAGACCTAGAATATAATGAAGGCTTAATAAATGTCAGTGGCTGGCAACCTCTCACTCACAAGGGCAGAGATGATACCTGGCTTACTGCCAAAACTGCAATAGCTGAACCACAGTAAGCACTTGGCCTACTATGTATTTGGCCAATGAATAGATGTATGTGTAATACATCCACACCTAACATCAATATTTGCATACCAGGTTTTATGATTTTCACCAGGAAAAGCTTTTGGAATACTAGGACTTTCTCATTGGTAACAGACCATAATCTCAGAGATTCCAATTCAATGCTAACCGCCCTGTTTTACCACTAAGAAACATGTCATTAGTAGTGACTATATACACTTGAGAAAGCATCTTAACTGTAAATAAGCAAAGACATCAGTCTGGAATCTGTATGTCATTAAGAGGAAGTACTACTTTTCTCATTATTTACAGGCTGAGTGAATGCAGATATTACGAAAAACTTAATTCTAAACTGCCAAACCAAATGGAGAATTGCAAAGAAAGACAACCTCAGACATAGGAAGCAAGGCGGCATTTTAAAGGGGTCAGTGGGGCAGTATCATATCCTCTCTGAAATGCACAGTTGCTCAGGAACAATTAGAAACAGGAGTCTGACTAACAAATGGTACAGCTTAAGTTGTTTAAAAAATCAAAGGCAGACAGATGAGTCTATCCAAAATTCTTCAGCAACTTAGGCTTCTGTTCAGCATCTTCTAAAGAAAGTGGCATCAATGGAACAAATGCCATTCAGTGGTGAGCCACTGGGTAAGGTATGCAGCAACAAGAATAGCATTGCCACCTACAGACAGAAGTGGCATTCCCTTTGCCAGAAGTCAACCAATCATATTTTAATGTGGAAAAAGAACGCAGCCAAGCCATCTCCCTCCAACCTCTTTCAAGCCATCACACCACATTACTTCATTTAGCATTACTTTAAGTCAGACAATCATTGCTAGGCATTCTTCTTCTTCATTATCCTCATCCTATTTCGATTTTCCTGGAAACAATGTGCCATTCAGGTATCTACTTATTATACACTATTTGAAAGAGAATGCAAACCAACAGATTTCAAGCTGACAAAGGCATCAGAATGGAAGTATAAATCTGCTTACCTGATATGAATGGGACCACCCGGAATATATCGGACAATCTGCTGTTAACTGGCTCATATGGGGAATCTTCAAGCAAATCATTTCCTAGAAACAGAAAGATGGGGCTCAGACCTGAAAAACATATATTTGTAGCAGTGTTTCACTGCTCAGTCTGAATTCTAAGTATGTTATGATTGTGTAACAAAAAGATGCTAAAACTTTCAAAGATTTCCAATGCAGGTATTTGGCTATGGTTATTTCTTTTTATTCCTCTGCCTTTGTTGTCCCGTTCTCCCCAGAGGGCCATGAAAATATTGGAGCACAATCCAGCCTGGTCTTGGCCAGAAAACTCCCCCACTCTGCAAAGGAATGAAATCTGAGAAGAAAGAGCCAGTGACGTCAAAAACCTTGCTGGCCTCCAGGAGCCAATGGAAGGAAGGTGACCCAGAGGAGGCACCCATGACTGCTCCCAAACCATGGCATGTGGTCAGAAATGAGGTACTCTGGCTATTCAAGAGTCCATCTCAGAAACAGGTTTTCATTTATAGATTTCTGGAGGAGGTGGCAGCTGACATGTCAAATCTGCATATTGGAAAGTTTCAGCGTGAGCCTCAGTGGAAAATGAGTAGCATGGGATGTTTGTGCAAGGTTTACAAACTCCTGCCACGTCTGACAGGTAAGTTCACATCTATATAGCTACACACATACACACACAAATATGTATGTATCTCCCATTGGACTAGAGGGTTGTGACAAGTGGATCTTTCTTTCCCTGAGCTACTTCTGTGTTAACCAAGGTTGAACCACAACAGCTGGTTCAAGACACAGCTAATCTCAGATGACAAATGGTTTGTCACGCATGTGCCTCTGATCAAGTTTGAGAGGGTGTAAAAAAGAAAATGGATTTTACTAGACCTTTTATACTTCTTAATCTCAGGTCAGATAGATGACCAGGGAGGAGAAGAGGAAAAACTCTAGGGAAGATGCTAGACAAGGGAAATCTCTGGCTGGCTCTCCTTGGGGAGAAGCGGAGGGTTTCTTGGGTGGCTCTTAGTGGATTCTCACTCTGATGTTCTGACTGCGTTTCAGAAGGGTCCAGCGGGGTCCTGGGGGCAGGAGGGGGGCTGCGCACACTCCCTCATGGGTTTTCCAACAACCAGCCCCACCGATGCGGCTCAGCCGCAGCAGCCAACGCCAGCTGCTGCTGTCCCCAGGGGCCAATGAAAGGCCCTCCTGCCGCAGCTGGGGGAGAAGGGAGTGGAAGATGAGCTGAACCCCGCCCGCCAGGGCCCCGAGGGGCCCCGCCAGCGTCCGGAGCTGGACGGCGGGGGGGGGGGGGGGTGGGGGGTGTACGAGTGGGAGGCGTACCCTGCAGGCTCTGGTACATGCTCCAGTAGATGCGCAGACAGTTCTTCTCCTTCTTCATGCCTCGCTTGCACCGACAGTTGTAGAGCGACTTCTGCTTCAGGGCCTCCATGGCGCTGCGGCACTCATCCTTGGCTTCGAGGCCGGACGCCAGGCTGAAGTTGGTCTCCTTGCCCGCCACGCACTGCCTCAGCGTGCGGTACTTGGTGCTGCAGCTCTGCTCCTTCAGGCACTGATCGCTGGCTTTCACGCAGTCCAGGCGGTCCCCGCCGCTCACCTCCGCCGACAGGAGCAGATCTGCCGGGTGGGAAAGAGCCAACCTGAGTACGGTCCTAGATCCTACCGGTACCGGACTCCAGGTCCTGCGGAGCGGGGCGGGGCGCCGGGCGGGTGCCCCGGGAATGGTGATTGGAGTTGCCTTCTGGGGCGCCCTGGGCAGGTTGCAAGCTAGGGAAGTCCATTTTCCCCCCCCTAGCGCTCCCCCCCCCCGCCCCGCCTCCCTGTCCCGCGAAGGAAGGTGGCGAGGGATTTGCCCAGGAGTCTCCGCGGCTCCGTGCATCGCCCCCAGCCTCGGTTCTCAGGCGGCTGCCCCGCCTCCCCGGACGCCCCCTCTCCCCACCCCACTCCCAAAGGCAACCATCCACTTGCCCGGCCTGGCCGGGCCTGGCGGCGGCGGGGCTCTGAATGGCGAAGCCCCTGGGGCGGCCACTGGGCGCCGGGCCCCGCGGTGGGCGAGAGACGGGCGAGCGGTGCCCGGCGGAAAGCTCCAAGATCATATTGGGAGGAAAAGTTTGGGGTTCCAAGTTGGATCTCCCTTGCCCAGCGTTCGCGCACACGATCCCCGGCCCCGGGGCGCTTTCCACGAACGCCTTGGAACTGGCTCAGGGCTCGGTCCGCGCCCCCCCCCCCCACTTCCCGCCTAGGCAAGCTGGGCTGGTTGAAAATCACAGCCAAATGAAAAGCTGGCAGAAAATGCTTGCCCGCTCTGCGTGGTCACCACTCCTGAAATCCACAGATTCCTGGACCCCTTTCCCCCAAGAAAAGAACCACCCGAAACTTCTTCCTCCAACCTCCACCGCACCCGCGCAGCGATTTCTGGGGGGGGGGGGGAGACGGCCGCAAGTGGCCCACAGAAAGAAAGCCTTCGTGGCTAGGAACGCTCCCAGCGGCCTCGACTTACCCAAGAGCGGGAGCGCGAAGTACAGGGTCGCCAGGAACATGGTGCCGGCGCGCAGCTGGTCCCGCGCCTCCCCCCAAAAAATAAAATCCTGGTCTCGCCGAGGGGGGGGCTCAGCATGCAGCGATCCCCGGACGGCTGCGCTCCTCTGGTCGCCCAAAGTTCAGCTCCATCCAGCGCGAGAGGAAACTCCGATCTGTCAGCCGCCGTCGCCACCGCCGGCGACTCAGCTCCCGGCGGGCGTGCGGGGTGCGGGAGGGGGGTGCGGAGGGGGGGCGGTCCCGCTTTGAGGGGTTCAGGTCCGACCCAACCTGGAAGGCAGAGCGCACTTTGAAATGAGAGCCCGGAGTGCTGAAGCCGCCCCTCCCGGCCTTCTCCCCTCCCCCGCCCCCGGCGGGGGGGGGTGGACTTGGGAGCGCCGGGGAGGGACCCAGGGACCCACCCCCCACACACACCCGGGTCCCACCCCCCCCCTCGAGTCGGGCCGCGTGGGGGGGGGGGCGGTGCGTGTGCTTAGATTCCCAGGGCTAGGGAGGCGCGGGGAACTGGAGGTTTGAGGCTGGAGAGGTCGGACGCGGAACACCCCTTCCTCCCCCCAAAAAAAGTCCAAAGGGGCCTCCATCAGTGCAATCCAAGAGGCTGAACGCAAGCAAATAAATGAATAAACGTTACTTTGCGAGCGCGGGGCGCAGAGCCGGCGGATGCCCAGGGTCCGAGCCCTCGGTAGCGGCTGTGCCAGCCCCGGAGCCAGCCCCTGCGCGGAAAGACCGTCGTCCCCCCCCCCTCCCCTTTCTCCTGGGAAGTTGGCCGCCCCCTCCTCGCGCCCCGCCGCTCGCGCGCGAGCTCGGCCGCCAGCCCTCTGCATCCAAAGCACCAATCGCTAGCCCTCGCCGCCGCACCCCTTCCTACCTCTCCCCCCCCCCCCCCCGCTCTTCCCGGGCTCGCCTCTTGCCCCAGGCAGCCGGGCAAAAGGAAGCCAACATCCCCCGTGCTAGAATCTCAGATTCTGCCCCCCACCCCAGCTCTACCCGCCGCGCGCGCTTCGATCCCCTCCAGGGCGTCAGCGCCGCTGCCACTCGCCGGGCGAGCGCCCCGGACCCGGGCGCGGCCACACCGCCGCCCGCCCCGGGAGCCAGCGTGCTGCGCCGCAGCCGCCCGCGCTGCCCGGCCAGGGGCCACCTCCGCGACACAGTGCCACCCCTCCACGACCCCAAAGTTGGCCGGCGTCGGCAAGATGGAAAGGGGGGGGGGTGTGGAGCGTTTGAGGGGGGAAAGCGATGATCGATGGGTTCCCGAATAAAAACAGGAAAAGAAATTCAAAAACAAAACGCAAAACTCACATTGCTACCAACCTGGTCTCAACTGACCACCACGTCCAGCTGCGGTGAGGAGACTATTTATTTGTTTATTTATTCATTCTTTGGGGACGTTGTCTCCGCCCCCTCTTTCCTTAACGGGCTCACTTGCTCTGAGCTAGGGGGCGGTGGGGGGGGGGGAGAAAAAGGATGCGGTAATCTTTAGAGAGCAGAGTTGAGTGGCTATTGCGAGCGGCAGAGGACCCTCGGCCTGATCTTGCCCCGCAGGGCACTGCCCGCCAGCTCCTGAGCTCACACACCCGGCAGCCGCAGATCACACTCGCTGGTCGCGCAGGGACCGGGGCTGATTCGCACACAGGAGCGCGCATAGGACACGCAGCGCTATGCAGCCAGCTGTGGGCGCTGCCAGACAGTCTCTCTCTCTCTCTCTCTCTCTCTCTCTCTCTCTCTCTCTCTCTCTCTCACACACACACACACACACACACACGCACGCACGCACACACACACAAGGCACAATGCACAAGGGTTCTTCTCACTGCAATCCAACCAAACCCTTCTTCTGAACACAAAGTTTCTCCCCGCCCCCTCCCCCAGTCTCTTGCGAGGGTGACTCAAGACTTGGCCGGTTAGAGACACACTCAGACCCGAGCCCCTGACGCGGCGATCGTCGTGGGATGGCACGCCGCCGCACGCGTTCGTCCCCCCATTCGCACGGACACGCGCGCACACCTCATCTCTGCCTCTGTCTTTCCTCCAACTTGGACAATGACACAAAAGCGTAGCCTCCAGCCCCTCCCCGCCCCCCGCATTTAAGTCCAGTCAGATCTAGCTTTGGGGAAAAAAATATAAGGTGACCTTCATCGTGACTGTTTCAAAAGTAAATTTACAAACAGAATAAAAAGGGGGCGAACGCATACAAAGCCCTCCGGCTCCAACCTCCAGAGCCGGCCTTGCCCCGCCGTGCGGCTCCGCTCCTGCTTCCCGTGTGAGGACGCGTTCCCCTTCCCGCAAGCAAGCCGGGGGGGGGGGACGCCCCAAAGTCTAACCCTGGATCCTGAGGTCCCGTCTAGAGGACAGTCCGCCGCGTGTGGGTGGCCGTGCGGCCGCTCAAGACTTGTGCTGGAGATCTTTGTGGACGACCAAGTTCATTTCTCTGCGAAACCGCATTTGAATCCAGGCTCCGCGAGCCCCAGCTGTCAACTCCGCAAACCCATCACGCCAGACAATGAGCGGCTGGCGCTCCACGGACCGAGAAGAGACGCTGTTTCTTTAGACAAGAGGGGGTTAATGCAAAAGGGCACCCGGCTTTGGTAGAAGTTGGGGGCCCGGGTGTGAGGGCGGGGAGAAGAGGGAGAGGGATGGGTAGCTCCCCATTCAACCACACATCAGCCAGACGCGCCCTTCGTCTGCTGGCTGCCAGCCTGTGCGCTGTGCATTGTTCCCAGTGCCCAGAGCAGGTCGCCTCCCAGCGCGTCCCCAAACCCTGGGGACATCCCACCAATCCAAGTTCCTTCTTTGCTGTGCACGTGTCCTCCGGGACAGGTAGGGAGAGAGTGGTGTCTCTGGGAACTCCTCCCCAGCAGACACTGTACACAGATTTCTAGTGCTGGGTATCAGTTTACACTTGGTGGTTGAGTAAACAAAGCAAACATATGCCACGTTCTGGCGACAGATGGTTCAAAACCAAGGGCTACTTAAGTTCCCTCTTTCACTGTTACAGGCGGGACTAAGCAGACATGTAATTAAATCTTCCAATCAGTTTCTTTGTCTTAACTACGTTTATTCTCGTCTTTAAACACACAAACCACATAAATCCTGGGGAGAAGGGTTTGGTGATAGGCTGAAAGGGAAATAAAGAGTTTATCTGTAGCCCTCAAATGTAAATCTCTCTTTTGTTGTTCCATTTCAAGAGTGGAAGCAAATTTCTTTGGAAAGGCAATAATCAGAATTCTAATTTTCTTTTTTTTTTCCACATTTTTTATTGTCAAGGTGATGTACAGAGGGGTTACAGTTACATAAGTCGGGTATTAAGTACGTTTCTTGTCAAACTTGTTACTTCTTCCCTCATTTGTCTCCTACTTTCCCTCCCCCCACTCCCCCATCCCCAAGTTGTACAGATCATTTCCAACATAGACAATTGTGAATATCACTGTTGCATTGGCTCCCCCTTGTCCTTTGTCTCATCATTCTGTGTTCCCTTCCCCTTCCTTTTCAATAGATGGACCAGTGTATATTATTGCTGGCCTTTAAGGATGGTTGGATGGCAATGAGTTTCATTTAAGATATCGTCGACATCTTTTGTAAGTATTCTTTGTTTGGAAAAGACTCTATGTTCCACTATATGCTCCACAGAAATCTTTTAAATTAAATTTTAATAGGGTGGAAGGAAGGTGGATTATGTTTTCTCCAATTGTAGAATACAAACGAGGCTTCTCTTAAAAACTACTTATAGTTTCAAGAATATTTCAGACCGATTGCTCACTCTACTCATTCTTACTGATGTTTACTGCTATTTAAAAATAATGGGTAAGCCACCACCTGTGTGTTGTCCGATACAAGAGACACTAAGCCATGGAACAATTTCAATGACTTTAGTTAAAGTTGAATACAAGAAAAAAAAATGTAGCTTATCAGTAGCACTAGTCAATAACCACCTGTGACTAGTGGTTACCATATTGCATAGCATAGATGTAGAATATTTCTACCATCGTAGAAAGTTCTAGTGGATAGCACTATTCTAATGTTGGTGTGAAATTTGTTAATATTTAGAGTTAATTAATTTTCAGAACATTAGATTAGCAAAGGCATAGAGAGTACTTTCCAAGCAATGGGAGTTATTGTTATGAAGAAGGAGGAGGAGGAGGAGGAGGAGGAAGTAAAGAAGTAGAAGATGATAATACTTTTGAGGAAGTGTAAAAAATTTATGGAGGTGGTAAAGAAGTAGAAGATAATAATAATACTTTTGAGGAAGTAGAAACAATCTGTGAGGACAAAGCTCACTTATGTTATGTTCACCACATAGGATGAGATCAGAAAGCAAAAGAACCAAGAAGTAGAGAAACGAATCTGTCAAAAGATCCTCTCCCCAGGAGAACTGCAAATAATATGTGTCCCATACTGTACTTTTATTGACTTGTTCTAGTCAATAAAAATACCAGTGCTTTACAAGAAACACATGGTCAGAAAACCCTGGGAATGTGGGAGGTAGAAAAGCCCTGTAACCTATTATATTAGCACTGCCTAGATTTCCTCACAGTCGGCTATTCCCACATGTACAGTACAGGACTGATCTTAGGATGAAAGGTGATATCAAAATATCAAATATTAATCATTACAAAAGTTCATGTAATCCTTGGTGACATGTTTCCCCAGCAAAAAAAAAAAAAAAAAGAGTTGATTTTAATGCTAGAAAATTAGGCTCCATCTACCCGGAAGCCATGTGAAGTGAGTAGTCTTCTTATATTTTTTTAATGTAAATATGTTTTCAGAAGTTAACAGATGAGTCCATGAGAATGACAATGCCATGCCATGAATCATTTGATCACTTATTGTTGTTGTCTTGGCACTATAGAATATGATGTAAAAAATAATCATGCTGTTAAAATTATACTGCACAATATCATTCAAGTTTCTTTAACAGAAGCTAGCTCATCAGAGTCCATCATTTGGCATTAGACGATTAACAAGCTTATCGCTGTAACTACACAAAAGCCCTCATCAAATGCACCATGCTTTTATTTGTTTCAGTTTTTGCCGCTTCGCTTTTGCCCAT